GGTTCGCCTCCAGCGCCGCCCCGTAGCGGGCCGGCTCGGCCCTCGTCAGCTCGTCGACGCATTCCGCCCTCATGATCTTCTAGTCGTCGAGGACAGCGCAGTAGCGGCACCGACCCAGCCGCCGCGGCGGCACCCAGTAGGATCCCACGAAATACTCCCAGCCCTGGGCATCGTAGCCCCCCGAGCGAGCGCCTCCGCGCTCGCGAGAGCGTCGGGATCCACCTCCGACTTCGTCGGTGGCTGGCCGCGCGACGTCTGGCTGCTCCGACGGCGGCTCCGCTTGGAAGCCCGCCCGTCGCGCCCGCGGTGGCCGCGCTCGGCGCGTTGCTGCCCGCCCCGCTGCCCACCTGGCACGCCTCCGACCATCATCGCAACGCTGGATGCGTGTCGCTGACGCCCGCGGCGCTGGACGCACCCCCTGGGTCGCTGGCGCTCCCGACACGGGCCCCCCGACGGCCCGCTCAAGCAGCTGCATGGCCTGGAGTGCCAAGGTCAGCGGGCCCAGGCCGCGCTGCTGGTCCGCAGAGAGGCGCGCGCACGGCATCACGTCCAGCGCGGCCGCCACGGCCTGCCGCGCGGGCATGGAGGATCCCGCGCCACGGGGCGGAAAAGCACTGGGGGCGGCCCCCGTACTTCCCCGCCCAGCGGCCGCGGGCTCCTCCGAGTCGCTCTCCAGTTTGGGCGCGGGGGTCGAGACCTCGGAGACGCGCTCGAACTTGTCGTCGGAGACGTCGCTCTCGGAGATGTCCACCTTCTGGTCGGGGCGAGGCCCCAGCGGCACAGCCGCCGCGGAGCTCGCGGCCGTGGCCTCCACCATCGCCGCCCTCGCCGTCTTGGCCTCCGTCTGTGGCTCCGCCTGCGTCGAGGCCTCCTCCTTAGCCGCCCTCATTGGAGCCTTCGCCTTGGCCTCAGCTTTAGCGTTAGCCTTGGCGCCGAGAGCCTCACGCAGCGGGAGGTGGGACGCGTGGGACGCGTCGTCGCTGGCCAGGGCATCGCGAGGGGCTGCGAAAACTTCGGTGCCATGGCGTCGCATTGGGCGTCGAGATCGAGGGGCAGAACAAGGGCGCGCGCCCTGCAAAGCTGCGCGACCCAAACGGCTGCGGTCGAGAAGGGGGAGACGAGGAAGGCTACACACCGAACTGTCAGTGGGTGGCCGATCCCCCACAGGAAGTTTTAAAAGGGGGAAATGACACAGAGGTTAACACGGCCCGCCGAGTGAGCAGGCGGCGCAGGGGAGACAGAGGAGGAGCCGAGCGAGGCGAGACGAGGCACACCCCCGTTCGAAACGAGCGCAGGGAACGACTACGACTACGATTACGACTACTGCTGCGACTACTACTACTACTACTACTACTACTACTACTTACTATTACTACTACTATACTACTACTACTACTAACTACTACTACTACTACTACTACTGTACTACTGGCTACGACTACTACTCCTACTACTACTACTACTACTACTGTACTAACTACAACTACGAATTACTTACTACTACTAATAATACTACTACTACTACTACTTACCGATTACTACGATTACTACTAACTACTTACTACATACTACTACGACGACGACGACGACGACGACGACGACGACGACTACTACTACTACTACAACTACTGCTGCGCTGCGGGCCACGGTACTGGTACTACTTACTATTACTCTTAATATTATTCTTACAGCTACTACTACTACTACTACTACTACTACTACTACTACTACTACTACTACTACTACTACTACTACTACTACTACGACTACGACTACGACTACGACTAATACTACTACTACTACTACTACTACTACTACTACTACTACTACTGCTACTACTACTACTACTACTACTACTACTACTACTACTACTACTGCTACTGCTACTGCTACTACTGCTACTACTGCTACTACTACTACTACTACTACTACTACTACTACTACTACTAGACTACGATGGCTACTACATACTATAATATACCATACTACTACTACTACTTACTACTAATACTACTACTACGACTACTACTACTACTACTACGACTATACTATTACACTATTACTACTACTACTACTACTACTACTACTACTACTACTACTACTACTACTACTACTACGAATAATAATGATACGACTACTACTACTACTACTACTACTACTACGACGACGACGACGACGACGACGACGACGACGACGACGACGACGACGACGACGACGACGACGACGACGACGACGACGACGACGACGACGACGACGACGACGACTTCACTTCACTTCACACGGCATTCAAGAAGGTACCTCTAGGGGCCGAGCCGATCGGGATGCTTCAAAGTGGTGAGGATAGTCGGGGAGACTAAAACACAAAGGTCTACCTCCCCAGGAAGATAACAGATAGTACGGATACCTAAGAGAAGACCCCCAAGTCGATCCAGTCAAAAAGAACTAAGGTCGGCGTTGAGGGATGCATAGTGTTGGAAACTCAGGTAAATCCAGGAAGCCTCAGAATTGGGTTTGTGCCTTTTGGGTTTCCCCTGTCCATTGAACGTGTTCTTCCGAAAGGTAAGCCAATCGATCTCGGAGTCCTTCCAGGCCTCCTGCTGCACGGCCAGCTCTCTCCAAGTCGCGCCGTAAAAATCAGCAAACTGCTTCTCCCATCGCCATACATGGAAGTTATAGTGGTGTCCCTGGCTGCCTATTGCCTGTTCGAGATGTCGGAGGTAGCGATAATCTTTATACACTGAAGCACGATAGACGACACGATCTTGATCATATATTTGCATACGGGCTACATGACCAGCCCAACGATGACCCAGCAGAAGTACATATTCATCCCAAGGACGAGTATTAGCTTTAGCCATTTGGGAATGGATAATATGATAAACCCGTTTCATATATTGGTCCATCTGCTCATCGTCGGTTTTCCTCACTCCCAACATATGGCGAATCATGCGGCACTGTACCGCACGTAGTTGGCTCAGCTGAGCCCTGGTGAAATTCAGGCTGCCAAAACAGAAAAACGCCGCCGAGCGCACAACCGAGTCCAGCAAATTTAGACGCTTGAGGATGGGGGTCTTCTTGTTGCAGAGGAGAGCGCGGTGGGAACCAAAAGCGGCCCAGGCCCTAGAGATACCACGGTTGACCGCCGCCGACGCACAGTTATCTAGCGTTATCCACGCGCCCAACTGTCGGAAACCTTCTCCTCGGCCCTTCCTGGAGATAATGTCCTCCCCCAATCTGAGAATCGCAGCCGAGTCGGCCGCAGTCGTGAG